ACCTTAATTAGACTTAAAGTAAAACCCAGGCAAAAATGTCAGAAAAATTTAAATTTGAATAACATGCTTTTTTAATTCTGGATTCTTAGAGAGTTTTTTCTGCTAGATTCACTTTGGCAAAGCTTAAATTATCAGGTTGGAAATTACATAATTATTTTACAATGACCCTCCGTTTGTAAGTTACTTTTAAACCTTTATCTGATTAGCGGTATCGTCTTTTTTCCATCATAAATTATTATAGAGCTTTTATCAATCTTTAATAGGAAAATCAAGGATATTTTCAAGATTTTCAGTCAGACAAAGGTTTTAAAGATACCATTGTAAATCGGGTGTGTCTCTCTTTTTTACATTAAAATGCCATTTGAAAATTGAAATTACATGAACAGTCCCTTAAAAACAAGTTTTTTTAATGTATAGTGTTGATTAACTTTTTAACACTGCAGTTAAATATTATTGTTATGTCGGAACGAGTTCTATGTAGTCTATAGAATTTCTATATTTATGCTAATAATCAAACTGAAGGATTTCACAAAAAGAAAATGTTTGTCACGGTATTTAAACTAAAATCTGAATATAAAGTTGCAATCTCTGTTTGTCTGTCTGTTTGTTTGTCCGATATCTGAGGAACCCCTGGACCGATTAGAACTCGGGAGACCCACGGGAATGTTCTTAGCTTGGGTTTGTGATTTTAAGTCAAGATTGGGTCGACTTTAATAGCGAAAATTTAGATTCCCGGTAAAATTGTTCAAGTGCGGGTAAACGGCGGTTAGTAAATTTTAGTAACCTTGGCAGCGCTGGGTTCCCAAGCTAGTATGTAATAAAATAACAAATTTGAAGAAATATAAAAAAATATTAACAAAACAACTATCTTCTATTTATACATTAAGATGTTAGTAATTCCTGTACATAACCCAGGAACACTTAAACCGATTTGCTCCAAATGTTAATGGGGTATAAACTCGGTAGAATTAATTTCCAGACTACAGAATACATGCAATTCAGTTTGGTTTGGTTTCATGTAGATACTAGCTAGGGAACCATGAGCTTTGTCCGTAAGCTTCTTAGAATTTTTAAACATTCCGATGGTTCTTCCGAGTTCCCCCAATCAAAATTTGAGGCAAATCGGTCATGGGGTTTCTGAGTTATGAATAGACAAACAAACAAACCTCCAAACAGATATTACAACTTTATATTTATTTATCTATTTATAAATTGAGCTTGGGTGTTTGTTTGTACCCAATAAACGTCAAAACGGCTAAACAGATCAGGCCCAAATTTTGTGTAGAACATCACATGACCCCAGGAAAGGTTATGGATGATCTAAATTTTAAAAATCGANTAAAATGTAAACAAAAAGAACATGTTCACAATTTAAATAGAAGATGGGCGCGAAACGCCCTAAAAGCCTAGTATATTATATATTTTGCGAGGATTACATAGTTTTCTTCAGGATTTTACACCTAGATACATAATTTACTATCTAGGGTTTTACATTATATTTGTTAAGACTTCTAGGTTTATATTTATAACTAGGCTTTAAGGGGCGCTTCGCGCCCATTTTCTATTTCAATCGTGAACATTTTCTCTTTGTGTACACTGTAAAACAAAAACAAAAAAGTTCGTGGATTTAAAAAAAAAGATTTGTGGATTTTCAAAATTTAATGAAAATCGAATTTTGTTGGGGGCAAATTTTTTTAATTTTGATCATCAATAAACCTTCCCTGGGGTCATGCGAGGCCCCAAACAAAATTTGGGCCATATCAGTTCAGCCTTTTTGACGTTTATTTGATACAAACTAACAGACAGAATTATAATTCAATATTTTAAATTTTGAAATTCACAGGTGGCTATTGGGAAATGAATTCCACCCAAAGAACTTGCAAATTATAGGAATTCTAGCAATTTATCATTTATCTGCGCGGACAGATCATTTGCAAACTGCAAACGGCACTTTTTGCACACTTTACAAAAATAAATTCTCAATTCAATCCTCGCGAAACTTTCCGCCAAAATAATTATACAAATTTATGATCCTTGGAAATTCAAGGAAAAATGTTGCTTGGTTTCTTTAAAACTCTAGATGGAACTGATATTACAGGAAGTCCCATAAAACCATGATAATCTAGAGCTGGATACATGTCTAGAATCTTAAACTTTTCAAATTAAACAATTACTCGGGCCGGATACTGTCCCAAAACTAAAAACCTGAAATGGAATGTGCGCTTAATTTCAAGTGACCTTCTATGTCAAAGACGACAATGCCCGATTGACAATGAAACCATTGAAACCTTTATCTGATCAATTAATAAGATGGAAGATGTTGTCGTTTTTCAACATTTACAAGTTTTTAATTATGTTAATGTTTTCCTGCAGTAAAGAAATGCGCAGGTCACTTTTGTAGAGAAACTACAATTGAAAATTGTCATTTTTCAAAATTATAAACATTGATATCTATTTCATACTTGACAATTCTTTTAACCCAATCACGATTGGGGAGGGGGGAGGTGTTTTCCAACCCCCCAACCCCCTCCCCCTTTGGATTCTTCTAAATAACTTAACTTCTTTACTTTTTCAACATAATAGTTTTATTTGCTCCAAATTTTTTTTTGGATGCATAGGGAATGGTGGAGGACGGTCAAACGGCAGTTTAGTGTTTCAAAAATATCAGAAAAGGTTAAAAACTTGTAGACTACAGGGATAAGGCTTATATACTTGAAAAGCCATTGAAAAATGGGAATAATAACATGTGTCATATGTTAATATTTGTTAAAAATAAAAATTAAAATTTTTGAAAAATTGTTCGACATAATTTTTGAGCTTTTTAAAAATCCGCCCTCACATCCTGACCATTAAAGTTAGAGGTCTATTTTTTTTTAATGAGTAAGCGTTGAAAAGTTGGACTAGGGACATGTATCACACCACACTCCTATCTCAACTCTAAGGGCAAAATCATAGGAGGGGGGACGGGGACGCTCCCCCCAACCTTTATTAGAAAAAAATTGCCCCAATCAGTACATGGTTAAAAGGACCGTGTAATTGCAAGTAACCCTGCCTTTAAAAGGAAATAAAAAAATAACGTTTAAAAGGAATTATTCAAGGTATTTCTTATTAATGCGGCACATTTCATCAGTTACGTTAAGGTCAAATAGTCAAAAAAAATGTATTCAAAACAACACATACTCAAGTTGTGTACATTTTAATTTAACGTTCCTAATTTGTACATGGGCATGCCCATTGAAACTTAATATTTTTGACAGAACTTTTAGCTAATAAATTGAAAACCTACAAATTTGAAAATTGTCAAATGTTTGCAGTGAACATCCTCGAATTATAGCTCTTTGAATAAAGAAAGAAAATCTAAAAAATTGCCGATTACATAAAACCCCCACATGAAATACGATCACTCTATATACAAGTGTACATGTGTTAGATACGTACACATATCGTGATGTATACAACCGACCGCTCTATTAATTAATTAATAGGGAGGTCGGTTGTGTACATCTGAGCTAAGCTAAGCTAAGCTATTACTCTATGGTACTTATGGAAGAAAAGTTAATTGCAGCTGCGTATACTCTGCTTATACATTTTGAAACCAGTTCTCTTTGGCGGAATTTGTAAACAAGAATAGATGCATCAGTGTTTGTTTAGTATCCGAGAAGGTTAAAAGCATTAATTTTTGATAATTNTAATAATCTGTGCAATAATCTGTGTAATAATCTGTGCAATAATCTGTGCAATAATCTGTGTAATAATCTGTGTAATAATCTGTGGAAAATATCAGAAATGCAAGTTAAAGTTAATTTAAAAAATAATATTTGAATCTTTATTACAGAGCTTGTAATGGTAATCTTGGAAATTGGGCTTTCCACTTTACAAATGGGTCACTTGGAAGTACAACGACAGTCTTCATTGTTAAGCTAACGTAGAACTTTGCATTTAAAGAAATTAGACATTTTCCCAAAATGAATAATTTAGTTATTAATCAGTTTAAACCGCCAAGTCTAGATTGCACCGAAAAAGTAAAAAACCTTGAATAACCGGTACATTATGTTTTGTGGAATATTTTTTTCAATATTTTAATTATTTGTTCCTGTGTGAAGTTTACAGTATGCAATACGTTCTATGCATTTATTCTCTTTGTTTAAGTCTGATATATAGAAAATATTGAAAAGTGTCGCAAAAAGCAATCAGATTCTGCTCCACACATTGGCATGTAAATTGTCTCAATTCAGAAAATCATTAAATAATTTGTTCGTGAATCAAATAAAGTTTTTCATAACAACAATGTAATTTTAACAATAAATATGAATGATCATCATCATCATATTATTATCCATTCATTCTGAATAAATTCATGTAACTATAAATATATAATATTTTGTTTGTTTGCTTGTTCTTTTGTATCCAATTCTTAAAAAATAGTAGGATTTTTTTTGAAAATGCGCCAATCCGAAAAGAAAAATCCGCCAAATTTTGAAAATAATTGAAACAAAGCAACAGTTAATGACTACCACACACTCCGATTTTCTAATCCCTATATTTTTGCAACCCAATATTGTAGACCTTAGGTCAAACTATGAATTATGTCAGATCAAATAATCTAAGTTTAAAATATAAAAACTTTTTTGGTTGCAAAGATGCAGGGATTACAAAATTTGAGTTTCTTGCAAAGATTCCTTTATCATTAGGAAAGAGGACGCGAAGCGCCCTACAAGCCTAGTATATATATATTTATCTAGATAACTACAGTACCTTATAGTGGGACCAATACAACTGTGGAAAATGAAGACGATTTGTAAAATTGAAGTTGTTATAAAGCAAATGGTAAAACCAATATCCTAAAATCAACTTAAAGGGAGTGACCGGCAATGTATTGTAATTCAACTGAAAATGTAGTATTGGGGAAATTTCTTTTATGAATCATTTGAGACATAAACGTTTCCACGATGTATAATCACTGAGTTTGAACGCAAAGTCGACGTTCAAAATCATTAGAGGGGAGGGATCAATGATAGGAGGAGGGGGTAGGGGGATTGGTCTAAGATAAGGGATTTGACTAGAATAGGATCTATGGGGATGAGGGACGTGGTAACAGGACTAGAATAGGGTTAGGAGATAAGATTATGGCTGGGAATTTCTCCGGGTTGGGTTTAACCCTGCTGTCTTCTTCCAGCTCTTCCGGACTTCTGGCGACCCTCTCGGGGAGCTGAATACTCAGCGGGAGCGTCAAAAGCAGCAGCGACAGGAGGAGCAGCATAATCAGCTTGGGCATCTGAAGCAGAAGCATCAAGAGCAGCTCGCTCAGCAGCGATCTCGTCGTTCTTGGAGAACAGACCTTCAGCTTCGGAGCAGTCGAAGTTGAACCACCAATCGCAGATGAAGTAGTTCTGGTTGAAGATGGTTCCATTAGGGCAGAGGAAACTGTACTTGCCGAGACCACCCTGACCGTCAGCAGTGCAGATATGGAACACCTGGCATTCAGCCTCGGGGTCAGCATAATAACCTCCATCAACTTGACCATCACAGGTGAATCCAGACTCAGGGACTTCAGCGTAAATTGGGTAATCCTCACCAGGTACTCCGGGGATAGAGGAAGCCAGCATAGCCAGAGGATCTGCTCCAGCATCAGATGCAGCAGCGTCGAGATCTCCGTAACTAGCCTGGTCAGCCACTCCATAGGAGTCTAGAGGAGCCTGCTGCCGTCCAGCTCTGGGAGCATGGTTGTGGTTGTGAACTCCGTCACAGCTGACTCCAAGAGCAAAGGCTGAAACAAATGTAAAATATGAATCGTGCAACGTGTAAAATATTTCCTGATGTTTTGAGAAGATTTGAAGAATGATGTTTAACATATAATCTGTGTTTATCCTGAGTAGATTAGCGGGATGAATGACAGGATGATGTGTTGGGATGGATGGTGGGATGATTGTATACCCTCAGGGATGAATAATAAGAATGGTCAGTATAGTTTGATGAATGAAGATGGGATGCGTCAAGTTTAAAGAAAATAGAAGAATGCAAAATTATAAGAACGAACGACACAAAGGAGAATTAAGTTAAAGTTAAAGATTAATGAATATATAAAAATGGATAAAAGGTAAACAAGAACGCATAAAAAAATAAAAGAATGGGGGGGGGGAGGGTAATAGAAACTGTATGGGAGGATTAAATCGTTAAAAGTTAAAAAAAAGATTTTAAGAAAAGTTAGATGAATTGAATATTTAGGAGGAAGAAGGAAATGATTATTCGTCTCAAACTCTAATATCCAAATCCAAATGGAACATATTTCAAACTATATATTATGGTAGATTATTTGTCAAAGTTTGAATATCAAAGGTTCGTATTATCAGGTTGTGACGAAAAAGGATAAAAAATTATACTTTGCGTCGAGATATTAATCCCTTGTAAAATATAAAGGATGAAGAATGAAGGATATTAGAATAAATCAAAAAGAAGATAAAAGGAAAAAAGAAATGAAGAGCAAAAGATGGCGGGCAAATTGTTTTATTTAGGAGGAAGATTAATAAGAAAGGAAAGGAAACGAAAAAAAGAGAAGGAGCAAATAAAGATTTAGAGGATAAAAGAACGAAGAGTAAAAAAATAAGAGTTTTTTTGCCACAAACAAACAATTTAAAATTTTATTTACTCAGAGTTCATCATTTGAAATAAAAAAGGGCTACGACATTAAGTTGCTCAGATATGGGGATTCAAATTATTGTTTGCTGCAAAACCCCATTTCCTATGTAATCAATATTTAAGAATGAAAAATAAAAAGAAGAGATTGGAAGAAAAATGAAAAAATAAAAAAGGGGAAAATATGGGCCTGAGAACAAAATAATTAATGATGAAAGACATGTTAAAAAAAAAAAAAAAAAAAAAAAAAGCAAAAAAGCAACAAGAAAGGAAAAATAAAAAATAACAAAATATTTTAAATATGAAAAACTATGAATAATAAATAATAAGAAATTAAAGATTAAAAAACATCAATTTCAACTTTATAAAGTTGGTATTTCTTACTTTTTTAATAGTAAAGGCTGTAGGACTAACAATGATTTGTTTTAAAGAAAAATTTTCATATTTTGACTTAAAGTATTATCATATAACCCTCAATTCACACATTTCCATGAAGAACGACACCACATAAAGACTTTAATGGATTAATAAGAAAAAAAAAATATTATTTTGAAAAAAAACCGCCCAATTCGACTCAAATCTTGAATATTTGAGTTTCTTTTCGAACTCGACTGTGTTTTTCAAACTGTATCTCACCAAGAACAAGTGCTGCTGTCTTCATAGTGGTTTAAACAAGAACTGATCCTAAACTCATGGTCAGACTCCTTTTATACCGTCTTGACCCATCTCCAGTTCATCTTCTCGACTCAAGCAGTTTCAACCGGTACGATACCTCGCCATTCACCGTTCAGATCTCCAGCATCCGGCGCACTGACGCTAGTTACGCTCATGGGGTTGACGCAAGGAANCATGGTGCAATTAATGGGTTGATATTGATCCTCTAATTTGGTTAAAGGGACTGTAGTGTAGTTTTAAGTGACCATTCATGTTTAGATAGACATAACTGATTGACAACGGTACCTTTTCGTTTTCTGATCAATGATGAAGAATTTGTCTTTATTTAGCCATTTACAAATTTCATAACTTCAGACGTATATTTTGATATAACATATGGATCTATATTATATCTGCAGCAGTAAAATATTTTAAAAGATTTTTTAAGTTCAAGACAACAAATTGAAATTTCGACAATAGTCCCTTTAAGAGTGAGAGACTGCATAAATAGGGTGTTTAGCTTAGGGGGAAAACTTAGCTTTGTCAAGTTTCATTTTCAGAAAATAGTTAAAGTGTAAATTCCAGGCTTTTGTATTTTTTGTTACCGATCATCTAAATCTTTTATGTATTTTCTGTTTGTCTATGATATTGTTGAAGACCCTGCAGTATATGGGGCTGATTAGATAAATAAATATATTACCGTGTAAAAATAAAGTATTCTAGATACGCTAAGCAAATCAAGATTAACACTCACCAGAGCAAACTGTTTACAGGACCCTTAAACACATATGCGTAGATATAATCTCTCCTCTTCGAACCTTGAAGGGATCACTGTGAATTAAACAGAAGGAGAAGGTCAAAGGAATTGAGTCTTTGCCACAAACTCTGATTTTCTCATCGCTTTATCTTAACAAACCAATAACGTAGTCCTTAGATATTTCAAACTATGGATTTTGTTAGATCAAATGATCTAAGTTGGAAATATCAAAGGTTTACATCTTCAGGTTGCAAAGATATTGGCATTAGAAAATTTGAGTTTGTGGCAAAGACTCAATTCCTTTATTTGTTATTCTCATTAGCTCTCTTCAATAGGTTGAGTTATGATTTAAAACATGCACTGTGACTGTGACTTTCGATCATAATTTAACAAAGTAAATACAAATTTTTTGCTTTTTCAAAAATTCAAAATGTAAAAGAATCTCTCCCCATGGTTATTCTATATTTAGAGTGTGACATAAACTATTGACAACACTTCACTTTGCTCTCTAACTAATTATCGATAATCTTTGTTTTTCTACCTGAAAACTGCTGAAAACAATTATATTCCATCTTCTTTGTTCAATTTTAAATAGAAAAGAAAGAAATCTCTCATCCAATATAAGTTAAAAATTGAAGCTTAAAGGCTGAAATCACATTTGTTTTACATTAATTCAATTAAAAAATAAACTGACTACTCGCCACAAACCCTCTTTTAAACTTGATAGTGGTAAACTGTAAAAATTTGAAACGTACGTTATTGAATAAATGGCATAGCAGAAATTAAAATAGAGAAACCACCCGTTACTGTCCATCTATCTTAACCTACCTAAATTAATATAATCACAGGAGGTTGCAATTGTTACTATTTTCACAATGAGGGGCTACTAAATAAGTTGGACCTGAATCGCAAAGTTTTAACACAGTTAATTTGTATACTACACCCTGGATAAAATCCTATACGCGCCCCCTGGGCTCGATAATGAACTAGGGCTACAACACAGGATTTATTCAACTATTTCTAGCATCTGGATCTATGTGGCATCAATATGTTTGCGTGCAGTTCCTCCATACAATCTCCAGGTTTCAATCAGAATAGATGGGTTCTCCACAGACTAGATGAAACACTAGATTGAAAAACTATAGATTGGGAACCATTTTAACATACAAGTTCATATGTGTAGACCATATCTTGTAACTCAATCACCTATATTGAGATAAAATAAGCAGGGGGAGGCGGGGATGGGGGGCGCTTTTAAGTATAAGTTCATATATGTAGACATATCTTGTAACTCAATCACCTATATTGAGATAAAATAAGCAGGGGGAGGCGGGGGTGGGGGCGCTTTTAAATATAAGTNGGATTTCGTTTGCTTTTTACATCAAAGCCTTTTTGTTTAATTCTTTATGCAATTCTAACTGGTGATAAAACCAAAGCTTGAACATGATAAACCATTAACTGTCATAATTATAGTACTTTATAGGTTAACACAATGTATACTTGTTCTTTAACAAGCTTCGGTACTTGTTTAATTAAGTAAAAATCTCTTTTTATTCACTTTTACAGCAGTGCACGCTGATTTAAATATCCCGGTTTTCTGATCAGTGAACCTTTACTTTCGAACCAACTTTAATCCATTTTCGTATTGTAAAGATATATGACGGTTCAGTTCAATCTTGATGGTGGTCTTTCATTCACAGATTACATCTTGACAGTTTTAGGTTGGATACAGGCTGAACATACTAAGATCTAGTTAGTTTCACGTGAGGAATATAGTGAATAAGGTATCGTGAAAAAAGCTTAAATAAAATAACATCAAACCCCCTCTATCGGAAAACTTGTACTACGTGTTTGGCAGTTAAATCAATACAATGAAGATGATTTTGTTATTTAAGTTTTGATTGTTAACAAGTTTTTTTCGAATTACAAATTTAAAAGTAATCAAAGAGAAGCTTTCATAAATTTAACTTTTATGTTTATATGTATCTATGTTTATGTTTATACGTATCTATGATGTTAAGAAGAAAGTTGTCTTCATTGTATTGATATAATCATACTACCACTGTAAAAAAAACATACTAAGCGTGAAGTTTCTAAAATAATTCTATGCATATGTCTTGTTAAATATGTCCAAACGTCTTCTCTTGACGCTTGACTGGTTTATACAAATTTATGGATATACGTTCTACAATCTACAAGGGGCAGTATCCCAATAAACAGGGGAATTTTATGTCATCTTTAATCTCATCTACGTATTTTTGTGATCGTATGATTTTAAAAATAAATCTTGTTTTGAGATTTCTTAGATGTGGTCTGCCATTTTTACGGATAAATTAAAAAATATTTGTTATTTAATGATCTTATAATTTGATGACACCTCGGAAATAATCTTTCAATTGGGATTTCTTTTGGTCAAGAGAGAATGAAGGGAGCCAGGAATGTAAAAAATGAAGAAAATCTTTTGGAAGTTTTATCATTTATGGGGAACCACTAACCAGTCAATATTCTAGAAAGCTGGACCTTTCGATTAAAATTTGGCCTTTTACACATTATTGTTAGCCTTTTTTCTTTTTTACTTTTTTGCCAGCATATACGTTTTGAATGGAAAGTATAAAAAATCCATAAGTTTAAATAATGTTAAATTTTAGACCAAAACGAGTATGATTTCCGGGCCCCGAGGATGGGGCGTAATAAAGGAGAAAAGGGGTAAAGGAATTGAATCTTTGCAACAAATCCCAATTTTCTAATACCTTTTATATATCTACAACCAAATTTTGTAAACCTTAGATATTTCAAACTTTGATTGTTTGAAATATCTAAGATATAGGGATTTAAAAACCAGAGTTTGTGGCAAAGACTCAATTCCTTTAAGTCAAATAATCTTTGGACAAATGTTTACTATTGGAATTTAATTTCTTTTATTAAGTCAATTCTTAAAAAAAATGTATCTTTTTTATTCTTAGGAATTTGTTAAAGTGAATTCAATTGATTTATAAAGTGACAGCACCTTTTAAAACTAAACATTTCTTGCTGAAAATTGATCATTTGCATGGAAGTGGTTTCTGTATAAAAGTGACAAATGGATTTAAGCTGCAGAAACAATGAAGGAAAGTATGTTTTTCCAGATAAAAGTATGAAGTCAAATTTGTGGGTTTAAGTTTGTTATCTTGCAACTCTTGAAATGGAAAGACACTTGAAATAACATCTACAGTCCCTGTAAAGGTGAGTTAATAAATGATATTAATCCTAGAAGAATGGCTGGAAGGTATAAAGGTTTATTTTGCCAGGTTTGGCAGATGAGAGGTGTGGGACCGTTAGCTCAACTAACACTCTAAACAATTTACCGCCCAGTTATAAACCAATTCAAGTTCAGAGTTTCATCCAAATTGAAAATTAATAAATATGATCAAAATATACGTTCCGAAATATAAATAATTCTTTGTTTTTTTTACTGTAAATCAAATTACACCCATGACGTAATGTTAACAGGCCCTCCCTTTAAAGGGTGGTACCTTTTAAACCTTAGTCTGAGCAAGGATGAATGAGACAACCTGAACTCTTTTTTATTTTCAAATGTGGGTTCTTGAGCTTCTATGCTTTCAGGGACAATGAAGGAAATTAACTGCTAGAATACTTTTTTAGATAGAAAGATAAGGATATCTTCCACAAAGTTCATGTTTTATTATTTTGAAGGCAGAAAAAATGAATGAATTATCCAATGAAAAGTAACCAACTTGAAAACAATGAAAATCCTGTCATTTCATCAAATCTCAATTTGATCAGGATAGTCATATGGTTGGACCGATTAATCAATTTAAAAGACAAACAATCAAACAGCAATATTGAAATGAAAGAATGGATTAAAGGACAGGAATGCTAGGATGAATAGATGAAAGGATAAGTATATTAGGAAGAACGAATGGATAAAAAGAACAGGAATATTAAGATGAATGGATGAAAGGACAGAAATATGAGAATAAATGAATGAATGAAAGAAAAGGAATATTTGAATGAAAGGATGTTGAGATAAAAGGATGGATGAAAGGACAGAAATGTTGAATGAATGGATGAAAGTAAAGGAATATTAGTTGGAATGAATGAATGGATGAAAGGACAGGAATGTTGTTGGAATGAATGAATGGATGAAATGACATGAATTGGACTGGATGATAAAACCTCATTTGTTTTTAATATGTAAATCATTAGTCTTCCATATAAGATATATTGGTTCAATCAGGCTCCGGGGAGTTTATTTCATAGACCTTATTGTATTAAGAAGATGCTCACAAACCC